TGTGACCATATTGCGGCACGTGAGAGTGAGACAGAGCCCCGGCAGCGGCCAGCGCGCGGGGGCGCAGCGGCCAGCGCGCAACAGGCGTTTCAAACAGCAAAGGGGACGGCCTGCGCCCCCCCCCGCCGGGGGGGGGCAGCCTCTAACTATGTCGGACGACGTCCCACGGCCGAGGCGGGCACTTCAGCACTCGGGCTGGCTGCACAAGGAGGGCCACCGCGTCAACACCGCGTTCAAGCGCCGCTGGTTCACACTGACCACGGACAGGCGCCTGTCCTACTACGAGAGCGAGGCTGCTGCCGGACGAAGGCAGAAGCCGAAGGGCGTTGTGCACGTCTGCTCCCTCGCGCACGCCTGCCCTCGGGACATCAGCGGCGCCATCGACGCTCGTCCGCGCGAGCACCACGCGCACGCGGTGCTCCTCGCGCGAGCCTTCACCTTCCAGACGGACGAGGCAAAGGCGTTTGTGGTGTACGCAGAGTCGACGCGCGAAAAGGTGACGTGGCTGCAGGCGCTGCTGAGTGGCCTGGGCGGCAGCAGCCTCGCGCTCCCCGTCGAGCAGCTCGCCACACTGCGCCGCCCCTCCGAGCTCGGCCCGCCGCAGCGCTCGAGCGTCGCGTCCTCCAGCAGCGACGAGGCGGCGCAGCGAAAGAAGGCGCCGCCGGCGGGGTGCGGTGGCTCGGAGGAGGAGGAGGGCGGACGGGAGGCGGCGGCGCGAGGGGCGGCGCCGAGCCGCGCCATCGACGCCGACTCCGAGCGGCTGACCGCGCACGAGTCGCCGCACGAGTCTCAGCTGTCCGAGGCGTTCCTCTGGCTGAAGGTTGACTTGGCGCTGGACCAGGCCGCGCGCGGCGAGGCGGAGGAGGCCTGCGCCACCCTGACGAGCCATATCTCCCCAGATCTCGGCCACATCTCCCCATATCTCGGCCACATCTCGCTCTATCTCAGGCCCGCGCCACCCTGACGAGCGTGCTCGGCGGCTACCACGCGAGGGCTGGCGAGGGGCTGCCCTTCCCGGCGGGCCTTTCTGAGGAGGGGACCATGCACGCCCTCTACAAGCCCGAGTGGCTCGTCGCGCTGCATGAGCTCGGCAAGCTCGAGTGCGCGGAAGGGAGGTACGCCGACGCAGCGCCCTCCTTCCAAGGCGCGCGCTCTCTCGGCCATAGCTCGGCCATCTCTCGGCCATAGCTCGGCCATAACTCGGTTATCTCTCGACTATCTCTCGGCTATCTCTCGGCTATCTCTCGGCTATCTCTCGGCTATCGCTCGCTACATCTCGCTACATCTCGGCCATACCTCGCTACATCTCGGCCGTCCTTCCAAGGCGCGCTCCGCATCGCGCCGCCGGAGCGGCGGACGCAGCTGCGGCTGCAGTGCGCGTGGTGTGCGTGGCACATGCGGCTGGACGAGCCGGCGGAGAGCCTGTACGCGAGCGAGCTGCGGCGGGACCCGCTCTGCTGGGCGGCGCTGCTCGACCGCGCGCGATTCCGGCTCGAGCGGGCTGCGTGGGGGCTCGCTCTCTCTGACCTCGAGCTGGTCGTGGCGATGGGGCAGGCGGCGGCGGACGTGCTCAACGACCTCGGCGTCTGCCGCTTCGAGCTGGGCGAGCCGGGGAAGGCGATGGAGGACTTCGAGGCGGCGCTGGAGGCCGACGAGCAGCACGCCCACGCGACGCTCAACCGGGGGAACTGCCACCGGCTTGCGGGCCGGCTGGCGGAGGCGAGGGCAGACTATTCTCGCGCGACCAGCCTCGACCCGCGGCTGGTCGCCGCCTTCAACAACCGCGGCGCCCTGTCGCTGGTGGAGGGGCGGCACGCGGACGCGGTGGCTGACCTCGAGGAGGCGGTGCGGATCGACCCTCACTCCGAGGTGGCGCTGCAGAACTGCGAGCTCGCGGCGGCGGCGAGCGAGCGGACCGGCCTCACCCTCAACGAGCGGGTCGGCGTGACCAGCGTCCTCCGCCCCGACGAGGCGGCACACTCACGCCCCTCACCCACGCGCACCGGGCCTCGGCACTGCCCATTGCCTTGCGCCGCTCCTGCCCTTTAGACGTGGAGTCGCGAGGGCTGCCCGGCTCTTGCCCCAGCCACAAGATGTAGATGTGGATGTAGATGTGTGTGGAGGCGCTCACCGTGCCGCACCGCACCTTAGGCGGCCGACCTACTCGCCGCGAGGGAGGGGAAGGTCGGGGTCGCGCGGAGGGCGTCGCTGTCGGGCCGGCAGCTGGCGAGCAGCGGCTGAGCTGCAGGGCACGGCCCGTGCATGCGCTTCGCATGATGCATACCCACGCGGGAGCCATGGCGGCGGTTGTCCATGACCGGACACTGAGGTACGTACGTACGCCGACACTCGTCTACACGCGTTCATGATTGTCCGCCCCAATTCTGTCTGCAGCATGAACCAGTACGCGTCTGTGTGTCGTGTGTGATCCGGATCTGTGAGGGACTCTGTCGCATCCGGCCATCTTGATCAGCTCGCCCATCACGCCGCACTGTCCGACGAGCGGGAGCGCGAAGAGGAGGAGGAGGTCAAGAACGATCTCCCCCAAGCGACCAGGATGAGCGCGAACACAGCCATCGCTTACGATAAGAGGGTAGGCAGGGTTCAGTCACACGAGCAAGGTCGGGGTGCATTCGCCGAATTTTTTTCTTGCGGCGAGGGCGGTATACCCATACCCATACCGCGTTGGTGTCCAGTCCGAGCCTGACTGAGTTGTTCATCTTTCTACATACATACATACAGGGCGGTCAAGTGCACGGAGCTAAGTGGCTCGCCGTCCTCGCGGGAGTCGCTTAGGCGACTCCCGTGGTGTACCTGTGTTAGTGCCAGTGCGCGCCAGTCCCGTGCCCAGTGTCGTGCGAGGCAGTTTGCTGGTAAAATTCTTTTCTCGAGCTCCGTGTGCCCACTCGAACTGTCTCTGCGCCAGCGGCAATGGTGACTCCGCCACCGCGCCGCGCCGCGCCGCGCCTCCGCGCGCCCCGCCGCCCCCTCGCGCACCTAGGTCCGCGCCGGCAAGGCACCCCATTCTACATCGCTTGGCCATGCACCGGATGTATGTCCTTTCTTTCTCTTCTGCATGTAGATGCAACGCTCTCCCCTCCAGACACCGCTGGCACGACGCCCCGTGCGCGCGACGAAACCGATGCCGTCGCGTCGCACCGACAAGGCGGTTCACGCTCTCTATAGAACACCGATTGCGAGAGAGGGGTCTGATCTAACCACTACGTGTCACGACTACTGAAGCGAACGTTCGTCTACTCACACAGACACTAGCACAGCAACAAACACCTAGCACAGACTGCACAGCTGCGGCGGGACCAAGGGCCGCGTAAGAGCCCAGACGGCGACTACACACGATGCGCCCCTCTCACGCGCACCCTGGCCAATAGACATACCACGCGAAGCCCGAGTCAGGGCAGCGGCAGATCTCGCAGCGGATGGTGACGGCGCGTCCAAACAAAACCATCTTTTCGGGCAGCTGGTCGTAGATGCTGACCTTGTAGCCGTTCTCAATGCAGTGCAGCGGAAACTCGGGCTGTGTGAGGGCTAGGTCACCGACCTCTATATACGACTCGCTCTCCTCATCCGCGAGGCGTAGCACCTTTTCGGTGGTCGATGCGTCCACTGTGCGAGCGGAGCGAAATCACGGTGGTGAGTGGAGAGGTGGGCGGGAAGGGTGGCCAGGTGGTGCAGGCTCGGCGTACCGTCGGCAAGCGCTAGCAGGCTCCTGATCTTCTCCGGCGGCACTCTGGCTGCGTCGATCTTGATCGCCGGGCCGCTGGCGCTGCTCAGTGAGCGCAAAGCGACAAGCGCGAGTGTGCCGAGTACGAAGGCCACGACGAGCCCGGAGACTACGGGACGCGGTTTTGAGGAGGAGCGGCCGCGGCTGAGGGAAGCGTCCTCGGGTGCGATCATCAAGAGCCGGTTGCGTCGGCTTCACGAGAAGCGACTCTCGTGACGAGCCGCCGGAGCGCAAAGAGGGCGCGCGTGACACGATGAAAGTTGCTTGGATTCACTGATTGCGGGGTGCTGTTCTCAGGGGGGCATATCCCTTTTCACACCTTAATCATAAACGGGAAATGTGAGAATTTCTTGCGCGGCTCTATCTAGAGAGAGATGCGCGCGGTGAAAGCACAAACGTGGCTGCTGCTTGGAGAAGAAGTCGCTAAATGGGCGTCTCGCTCCGCATGGCCACAAGCGCGTCGCACGCCGCCGAGTAGACGGCCACCACGTCGCCCGAGAGAGTGAGCACCCGCAACTCGTCGCCTCGTTTCTTTGCCTGTCGCGCGAATCGTGCTGTGCGAGCCTTTTGTTGTAGTAACATTCTTAAATAATAAATAAAAACGGACAGCTCTCTTGTCTCTACTGATTCACGTACTGTGAGACGGGTAAAAAGGAACAGGTCTCCGCCCGTGCGATCTTTGTGCAGGGTTCTTGTTGTCCACAAGAAAGTTCCTTTAGTTAGAACCGTAGTTAGTTACAGTGCGAGGCGTGGCGATAGAAATCGGGGCGTCGGCATCCAGCAGCCGATTTCTGTTTCGGCGAGGGAAATCGGGCGAGCCATGCTGCAGGCGGACGCAGACGTCCACTTGAGGTCTGACAGGGGGCTCACGGCGATGGATATGGCGTACAACCACGGCCACACCGCGTGTGTCGACGCTATGACACAGCATCTGGTGGAGAAGATACCTCTCATTGGCAAGCTGCTCTCCGTATGTACTCGCAACGCGCTGACATCAGGCGTGATGCGCGTGTGGTGGGACCGCGCGCGTGGAAGGACCCGAGGTATGGGACTCCTGATGTATCTCTCCAGACTTGGTGAGTTCAACCTTTTCTCAGAGGCGTCCGTCATTGCTCTAGCATACCTCGGGCCATTCCCCTTTGACGTTCTACCCGACATCGACTACGGTGTGTCGGCAGCATGGCTGCTGGCTCAGTGGATGTATTTCGCTCTCATAATCGCCATCTTACCCGTCAGCGTGGCTCTCCAGCGGCGTGCGCGGCGGCTCCGCCCACAGGCGGGGGCGCGGCGAAGGGCGCAGAGGCGTCGACCAGAAGCGTCGGCGCTGTCATGGGTTTGGTTCAACACGCACCGACGAAGGATGCAGATGCGTGCCGCTTCCGCGCTCGTCGCCGTGGCGAGTAGGCTCGGTTCCCTCTGGCATTGGGCGACTCATCGGCGGCGAGCCGACGCGACGGAGCCGGCGCGTGGCCAGCGGCGGCGGGCTGGGAGGCAGGGGCGGGGCAGGGACACGGGCACCGGGGCACCGACCCAGTCTGGTGGGAAGGGGGCGGTGGTACGAGCGCCTAAATCCGACGACGCCTCGCAGCCAGCAGACAGGGCGGAGGTTGCGAGGGCGGAGGAGGCGGCAGCAGCGGAGGCGGAGGCGAGGGCGGCGGCGGCGGCAGCAGAGGCGGCGGCGAGGGCGGAGGAGGCGGCAGCTCGTGCGGCAGCTCAGGCGGAGGCAGAGGCAGAGGCGGTTGCGTTGCGCGCGGAGATGGCACGCCTTGGCACGACTTGGCACGACTCACTGCCTCCGCCTGTGCCTGTGCCTCTGCCTCCGCCTGTGCCGGCCATCGTTGCGGGTGCGGACCCGGAAACAGCTGATGCTGCTGGAGAAACCGAGATGCTGAGGCAAAACCCCGCGTCGCTGCGTCAGCAGCTGCAGTCGTCCGAGGTGCGGCAGACGTTGCAGTCGGCAGAGGAGGGGGAGGGACCAGCCAGTGACACTGATGGGGAGGGTGAGGAGGGAGAGGAGACCGACTCTGACGGCGCGCCTGCCCCTCTGCCAGCCCCTCTACCACCAGCCGATCAGCCGCCCCTCGGCCCAGTATCTCTGGCGAGCGCCAACTTCGACACTGGCAGACCAGAGGTCCCCGAGTCCACCGTCGGCGGTGAGTCGACGTGCATCATCTGCTTCACTCGGCCGAAATCGCACGTTGCGATCCCGTGCGGCCATCTGTGCGCTTGCGACGTGTGCTCCGCAAGGATGGAGCAGTGTCCCATCTGCCGCGAGCCGGTGATGACGTGGTTCCTCCCCTCACGCATCCGCGAGGCGTAGGGTGGGCGACGGCTAGCACCACACTCCTCTCCTTAAAATCCCTGTGTGGTGGCGGCGTGCCGTCCTCCCATCCCTCCCTTGGTTGTCCGTTTTCTTTCTTTCTTTCTTTTTCTCGGGCGGCCCACAGACATCGAAAACTTTCTTACGTCTTGGGTCCGGTTTTCCCCGGGAAAATTCTTTTTTCGCCCAGAGCACCATGGTGAGCCGGTGTGTGTGCCAGTCCGCGCCAGTCCGCGCCCTTGTCGTGCCAGTGTGCTGTGATGACCCTAGAATTCTTTTTTCGCCCACATACACACATACGAGGTCGGAGGAAGGCATCAGCGCGTGGAGAAGAAAGTGGGCGCCATGTGCAGCGCTCCGCAGCAAGCTCAGCTGCGAGACGCCACTGTGCAGCACCCTGACGCCTCCAAGCGGCCCACGCGCACAGCGGCGCTTCTGAGGCCGCTGGCCATGTTGCTCTCGCTCTCGGCCTCCCTCGCGCTCTCACTGCTGAGGATCGCCGCGGCGGCAGTGCGCCTCGCCGCGAGTGCTGCTCTCGGCCTGCGCGATCCGGCCGACAGCGCGTGCGCGTGCGAGTTTTACGAGGGCGTCGTCCACCACCTGCGGACCAAACCCAAGCGGCACACCCTGACCTATCGCGTGCGGTACTGCCTCCTCGACCTGGACGCGGCGCGCCCGCCTGCCTGCTGCGCCGCGCAGCTCGAGGACCGGCTGACCGCCGCGCAGGCGCGCTCGGAGAGCGGTTACGACGGTAAGGTGCTGCTGCTGCTGCTGCCCGGGAGCGCCGGCTTTGAGGAGAGCTTCGCACCCTCTCCTCGCCCCTTTCCGAGACCTTTCCCTACAGCCCCCCTCCTCGAGACCGTCGCCGACACGCCTCCCCAGCAGAACCCCGCCGCCGTCTTGCACACGTCCGTGACACGCCCATGACGCGCCCGGGACATGCACATGCACATGCACATGCACATGCACATGCACACGCACACCGCCCATGACGCGTCCGGGACGTGTCCCACCAGGAGAACCCCATCGTCGTCTACTACTGCCACGACGCGGCGGGGGCGCTGCGCTGCTGCCTGGCGGAAGTGACAAACACCCCGTGGGGAGACCGAGTGCGGTTCGCGTTTGCTCCGAGCGGCGACGAGCTGCCAAAGGCAATCGCGCGTCTCGCCGCTGCGGGACCCGTCCATGACACGTCCGCGACACGTCCGCGACACGTCCGCGACACCCGTCCCGCAGGCGATGCATGTCTCGCCGCTGCAGGACAGGACACGCGTGGAGCGCTGTCACACCAGGCCTCGAAGGTGAGGTTGAGCTCGGTTGTCTGCAGGACATGGCCAGCGCGTGGACGCTGCACGCCAGCGCCCCCGCAGAGCGGCTCGCCCTCTCCGTCTCGTGCGAGCACCCGGAGCTGGGACGCTTCTTCGACGCGTCGCTCGCCGCGCGCCGCGTGGCGCAGCGCCCCTAGATGCGGACGATCTCCCCAGATCTCCCCAGATCTCCCCAGATCTCCCAAATCTCCCCAGATCTCCTTGACACGCATCCAGCTGTCTCCGGCTGTCTTTGTACCGCATCCAGCGGCAACTGATCCGTAGCCCGTGTGTGTGCTCTCTCACACGAGGCTCGCAGCACACTGCGCGAGACCCGCACTCCCGCCCTCAGCCCCGTCGCCCTCTTGCCCCAGGCGCAGCCCGCCTCGTCCGAGGTCTGGGCCTGGCTCATGCCCCACCGCGTCGCCGCCTGGATCTACTGGCACGCCACACTCCTCCTCTGGGCGGGCGTGCCCTTCCTGCCGCACCCGAAGAGCTCGGACCCAGCCGCATACAAGCGCGACATCCTCGCAAAGGCGGAGGCCTCTGGCAAGACGCTCTGCCCGGCCGTCGGCGCCGCCGCGGTGGGCCAGCCCCGCTTCTCATGGCGCGACGCGGCGCGGTATCCGTGGGACGGCTAGAGAGAAGACACCGAGGCCGCCCGCGCCCCGCGCGCGCGCCTTGGTCTTTTGTGAGATATTGTACCGCTACGGCTACGGCTAATACGGCTTACGTAAAATAATATCGGGCCCAAATATCGCGTCACACCAATCCTCGCTACCCAATCAGCGGAAGAAATAAACTCGCCCTCGGAAGCACAAAGCAGCGCGGCATGGAGCTGTACACATAGAGAAAGACAAAGAGGCGCGCCGCCAGGGGTCGCAATCTCGATCTAATACCGTCGAGCTGTCCTCTGCTCTCATCCAGACTCGCTCACACATGGCGGAGACCACCCGCCGGTGTGTGCCCCTTCCCATCACGCCTCAAACACGAGCCACCGCACCTCCGCCAGCCCGCCCTCGGCGTCCCAGTGCGCCTCGACAGTGTACAGCCGCCTGCCGCCGACTGCCTCGCCCTCGCCGCTGTCGGCCGTCGAGTGCTGCGGAGGCCACCACGCGGCGGCGCTGGAGAAGGGCTGGTTGGCGACGCGCCGCGTGGGCGCCACCACCGCGACTGTCCCGCCAGCGCACAGCAGCACCGCGTCCGCCGCCGACGCCGACCCAACCCTCGTGCTCTGCCACGCGACGCCGGCCAGCGAGCGCTGCTCGAGCGAGGCGCTGACTGCGAAGCCGGAGCCGGGCGCGCGCGTCGGCGCGGCCGCCCGCTCGAGCGCGCGTTCCAGCTCCGCGCCGCAGACCGCCGCAGCCTCGCAGCTCTCGGACCAGCCCTCGGCAGCGGCGGCCGAAGGCCACGGCCCACGAGCGTCCTCGCGGACGAGGGCGAGCTGCTGGAGCGTTCCGTCGGCGGAGTGGACGACGCCGGCGCTCATCCTCAGGTGGTCGCCGTGGTGGAGGAAGAGCTCGGCGGCGCAGGGAGTGCCCGCCGGGCTCCGCCTCATGCACCACGCGCTCGGCCCTCCGGGCAGCAGCAGCGTCGTCATCTCGGGCGAGGCGGGGTGGAGCATCCCGTGCGGCGTGCTGCAGGCTTCCTCGGTGAGGTGCCACGGGCCGCTCTGCGGACCCTCCGCAACCGTGCCGCGCTCGTCGCGGTAGTGGTACACGACCTGCATCGAGCAGCCTTTTCCCGTCGGCTCAAAGGCCCGCTCCGCATCAAAGACGGAGCGCAGCTCGCCGCTCGGGCTCCAGCGACACCAGAGCGCGTGCCATCGACGCGCCAGCTTGAGGTAGACAAAGCGGCGCCAGTGCACCGCGGCGAGGTCCTCGACTGGCATATATGTGTGTGGCGTGGAGGCGGCCCGAAGAGCGCGGGCATATGCGTTACAGACGATAAAAAAGAATTACCCGGAGTTTGCCGCCGGCGTCATCGGCGTCACCGCCCCCTTGATAGTCAGCGCCCTCTTGGTAGTGTCATAAGTGTGGCTGATGTGTGTCAGAGCCTGACAGCGCTTAGTTCTACATGCAACCTTAGCCTTGTTACGCTTTGGATTGATCAGCAAAGTGTCAAAAAATCATGCCTCCCGCGTCCCCACCGACACACCAGCAGCCGTCATTCGCCCCCCCCCCCCCTCTCCTCGCCCCCTGGCTCTGCCTCTGCTATCCAAGGCTGCTGAATGCATCGGCGAGGCGGGAGCCATGCCCATCAGACACGCTTGGCTGGGGCGGCGCTCGTACACCAATCGCGCCTCCGCCGGCGTGTACCCAAATGCAGACTCGCCAGGCGGGTTGCCATACGCCGGCAGTTTGCGCGCAGCCGCGACCGTGAGAAGGCGCAGGAGGGCCATCTCGGCGTACGTGATGTGCCTTGACGAAGTGATGTCCCCCCTATTTGTGCCCCGAGTCAAGTGGAAGGCACCCTTGGTGCTATCCTGGTGCCGCAACAGATTGTGGGTCTCACCGCAGCTGGTGGCCATCACGCGGGGGTCGAAGAGCTGCTGGTCGTCATTCTTGAGTATGCCACACCGTTGCAACAACCGGAGCAGTCGCTGCGCCCCTGCTAGCGGTGTCAAGAACGCCTCTGCGTACGCACTGAGCTGCACGATGTCCGGTGCCACGCCGTGGTGCACGCCGTGGTGCTTCGCCGCGCGCGTATGCGCCGCCATGCAAGCGCTGTGCAGCCATGGGTGCAAAAGCTCGGGACGAATTGCCACGTCCTCCTCGAGGGTGAGCTGCCAGTCGTGGCCTCGCTCGACCTGGTGGCGGAGTGCGCGGTACTTGGTGAGAAAGGTGGCGAGCTTGCCCCACTTGCGCCCGGAGCGAGACAGGTTGTGGAACTGAAGCCCGCTCCACAGCAGTGCCTCAATCGTCTCCGTCTGATTGTATCCATTTGTGGCCCGAAGCACGGTCGGGTTCCACTGAGGTGGAGCATGCGTCGTGCCGCACGTCGTGTTCTGCCGCGGCAGCGCGGCCACGACTACTGCAATCATGGAGACGTTGCACGGGGGCAGCGCGGGAGGCATTCTTTCGGCCGCGGCGAGGGCTGGGAGGAGGCGAGGCGGAAGCGGCACTGATAACTTCTGTGTTCCGACTAGGGACGGCCGCTTGAGCCCTCGATCGTCTCGCCCTCCCTCACTGGTGTGTTCATGGGGGGGGTCCTAACAAACACGGTACAGGATCGAGGTGCACGCTGCCGAAGCAAGCAGTGTCGTCCGCCCCCCTCTCCTCGATGGTGATGGCGGTGTGACCGATCGAGCTACAAGAGGAGCTTGTTCAGCAGGATCCGGGACAGGTCTGATGCACTACCTCACTGGGCCTGAGACCACCGAGACAACGCCCGTCACCGTCTCGGGTTTGCGTGGGGTCGAACCACTCCCGGGATGAGCAAGCTCATCGTTTTGTTCTGTGTTGTCCCTCGCATCTGATTAATTAATGGTCAAAATTCCTGTTGTGCAAGAGCGGAGAGGGCTCGGACGGGGCGCGTGGCGGGACTCTCAAAAACAACCACGAAAAGTCGCAGTTCTATCCAAGGACCAAGCGCTTGCGCTTCGGCGGTTAGTGGTGCACTAACCTCCGATAAACCCTTCGGGTCGCTCCTCATCGCAAACCCTGTCAGTCAGCAGAGTCCTCCTTCCTACGGGAATGTACGTATAAGAGCTACGTACACTGAAAAAGGGCGGGGCTGTCCCGGAAAGTGAGAAACGCCGGGCAGCGTGACGCAAGAGAGAGAGTGAGGGCTGACAAGCTGCCGAGCCCAAATCACTGTGAGAGTCGTGATTTCTTGTTGGTCTTTAAAAAACATCGCGTGACGCACAACTTCACCCTCCCATACGCCATACGAAAGAGAGAGTCGTGATTTCTTGTTGGTCTTCAAAAAAATCTCTCTCCCATACGTGTTTGTGCTCCTCCTTCCTTCGCTGTCCCATCTCCTCATCTCTTTCCCGCCTGGGCGGGGCGGCGGGCGGGCGCGCGGTGCGGAGCGGCGTGTGCGTGTGTGTGACTGCGACAAGGGACCATTGGGTTTGATTATGAACAACGAAGGCGCTCTCAAAAAAGACACGTAAGAGCGACAAATTAAAAAGAATTTTACAAAAAGAAACTGCTCCTGCGGTGGTCAGCTTTGCAGCACCCAGTGAGGTGCACGAGCAGGCGCTCATGCTAGCTAACAT